CCTATTAAGGGGGATGCACATCAGGTGGAACCCTCTGCATATGAGCCACAACTGAAATGGTCTCATGGACAGGAGCCCCAAAGATATCACATTTGCTGTAGCTGCCATAAGACCCAATAACTTCTGGTACTGGCAGACAGAAATTTCTTGACCCAGCCTGAAGTCTTTCAAGGTAGTAAGGACAGACTTGACTCAAGCAGGAGACTGTCATGCCTGCTTGGAAGTGGAGTCCCATACATCCCCAGAAAAGTCTTCCTCTGACTCGGAGAGAGGTCACTCTTTGTGACCGTCAGTCTCAACAGCAGACTTCTCAAGTGAGCGAGGATGGCATCTCAATGTTGAACTGCTAAGTCCCTCAACTTGGCCAATATGAGCCAGCAGTCAACGTAATTGAGTACATGAATGCCCTCGAGTCACAAAGGATGCAGGGCAGCATCCATGCACTTTGTGAACATGAGAGGTGGTAGGACTAGGCCGAAGGGAAAAACATGATATTGGTAAGCTTTGCCCTCAAAATCCAACAGGAGATGCTTCCTGTGTTGTGGCAGAATCTTGGTAGGGAAATATGTTTATCGTGACAAACCAATGCTCAAACTGGATTTGACACACAAGTATTATGAGTGTTAGCATCTTGACCACACATTCCACACAGAGTACTGTTCAGAGCCTGCAGATCTAAAATTGGACACAATCCACCATCCATCTTGGGGACTAAAAATTAAAAGCTGAAAATTTTGATTTTCTTAAGGGAAAGGGGATCATGTTCTATTGCCCCCTTTGGCCATAGGGGAATGTAAGTCTTGTGCTAACAATGGAGACTGCCTTTTCTTCACCAGAGTACTGAGCACACATTTGAAGCGAGGAGGTTGAAAATCAAACTGAATCCTGTACCCTTTCCAGACTTTTCATAGAACCCATTGAGATAAATTTTCTCAAATTGTCTCAGTTTCCACGCTGCCAAATGCTGTGAATGAAGAATCACTTTGTTGATTTCAAATTGTAACAGAGGAGTCAATTGTTCGTAACCCTGAAACATTGTACTGGCAGGTAATTCTCAAACATCACTTATTTGAGATAGTTCGAAAAAAGAGGCCCCACCTTCCTCGAGAGAGGCAAGTATCTTTGTTTTTCTTATCTTTTTGAGTAGAAGGTGGGCACCAATTTCTGGTTGCTATGTCGAGCAGAGATTGGACAAAATACACGCTGGGGACCTCCACCTTCCGAAACACCAAAGATGGCAGGGTAAGCAGAAAAGTCCCTAGAAGTTTTCAAGGAGGAGACCAGATGCGATGTCGTGAAGCCTCAAACTCCTCCCTGACCGAGCATGCCCTGGACGCCCTGCAGCCACAACTGTCAGGGCTGTTTTGTTTTGGCCATCCTAGTGACAATGACTGTCCTCAGATCAGCCCTGGCTTTGGGTGGCCATATACGACAACTGGACCCCCAGTTTTGAAAGGACACACAGGCCTGTTGCTCTTCCCTTCTACCCCAAGAGGAGCTAGGGCCTGACACATTTTTTCCATTATTTTTTCCTTTTCAATTCCTCATGAACACAAAGAGCATGCACAGAAAAAACGGCTTCCTGAAGACAAAGAAGCTAGTAATGTGCATTTCAGTTGTCTATGGTCTTGGTGATGTGCTTTCGCTACGCTACCTGACCATGCTGATAGCCAATAGAACTGGTGTTTTTCCACACATGCTTCAGACACCGTCTCACGCAGAGGTGTTCCAATAGTGTCAACGTCATGATGCAGTGTTGAGTTCCACTTCATTTTTTAGTTCAACAATGCCTTCAAGTAATTTTGCTTCTCAATGTTTAGATTTGTTTATATAGTTGTATTGGAAAACAACAAAAATACTGTGTAAGGAGTTTTTTTTTTTTTTTGCAGTGTGCAAATTCTCATGAGATCAGTTTGGGCTAATCAGCATTCAGACACCACAGAAATAGAAACAGAATGACTGTCAAAATGTCCTTTTGCTGATTAGGACACATTTACATTCACTTCAATATGTGATAACTATTAAAACTTTGTTTATAAAACTTTTGTGTGTGATTGTTTTTTTTTTTTTTTGCTTAAGTTGTTTATGACCTTTAACAGATTAAAGAAACCTGTTAAAGGTGTGCACATGACCTCACGGGAGTGAGGGAATGGGAGGTATGCAGATTGAAATTCTCAATTTGATCTTTGCTCATGGCAGCCCATGGTCAGATCTGCAGCCAGGTTGTTTTGAGTCAAACACCTGAGCTGTAAATGAAGAGACTAATTACTCTGGAGCCAGCAGAAAATGATGTCATGGGAACAGATTGGCTGATTGCCACCACAAGAATATGCATGGCGGATATTTTCTTTTACTGTTGGAGCAAAAATTACATTTACTGTGGTCTCTTATTTATCTCTATTGAAGCTTATTCTGTTTTAGTCCATGTTCATGTACTGTATCTGATACTTTATTCGATCAAAAATACAGTACAAAAAGTAATATTGTGAAATATTATTACAATTTAAAATGTTTTCTATTTTAATATTTTTTTAAACGTAATTTACCCCTTTGTTGGCAAAGCTGAATTTTCAGCAGCATGTCTTCAGTGTCATATGATCCTTCAGAAATGAATAATTATTCACATTATCAAACATTATTACAAATGTTGAAAACAGTTTTTGCTGCATAATATATTATGGTAGAAACCATAATAAACTACCGTTTAAAAGTTTGGAGTAAGTAATAATAATAATAATAATACCTTTATTCAGCAAAAACACACTAAATTGATCAAAAGTGATAATTAAGACATTTAGAATCTCTTAAAAAGATCAAAGTTACACAATATTTCTGTTTCAAAGAAAGGATGTTCTTTTGAGCTTTCTATTCATCAAAAAAAAAATCTTGGAAAAAAAGTATCACCGTTTCCACAAAAATATTAAGCCGCATGTGTCACGCTCCTGAACTGTGTTTGAGTTTTTTTTTCTCCTCCTTGTGCTTGCCCTGACCTAGTTTCTCCCTTATGTTAATTGTGTTTATTGCGTGTTTCCCCCCCGTTTTTTGTTTCAGAGTTTTTTGCAGTGTTTGCTTTCTGTTTTCCCCGTGTTTCCATGGATCCCCTTGCCGCTAAGTTTACCTCCCTTGCCCATAAGGACCTGCCCCTATTGGGGTATGCGGTTGAATGGCATTTGATGACGCTGCGCTGAACTCACTGTTCTGGATCGGGGTAAATTACCATCGCCCCGTCGACCTCCCAGACACCACTGGACTGAGCTGAAGGGAAGCAATCATCCGGAGTCTGGAGAGTGTCTACCCCTGATCTGGAACAAAGCCAGACCTGGAGCCCAGCCCACCATCTCCCCGCTGCGCGGAGCTCAAGCCCGAGCCCACCGTTGACGGAGAGCCCGAACCCGGCACGACCGACAAGCCATCGCCGCATGGAGCGACAGAGCTGAGGATCGCCGCGGAGCCGGAGCTGCTCATGACGTCAATCCAGGTGCAAGAGCCGGCAACAGAGCTCGCCATCAAGGAGAAAGCGGTGGACAGAGAGAGCGCGGAGAAGAGATCCGCCCCCAGGGTGAGCTGATTAAGGCTTTGGGTGAATGCAAAGCTGAGGAAAACTTAATTGACTTGTTTACCGACCTGCCCCTTTTCCTTCCTCCTCCGTCTGTGAACTCTGTCCCTCCCTGTTCCTGAGTTTAGCCCAGAGAAAGTTCCTGTTCCCATGTCTAGCCCAGAGTGGGCTCCTGTTCCCACGTCCAGCCCAGAGAGGGCTCCCGTTCCTGAGTTAAGCCCTGAAAGCCCGGCGGCTCACAAATGCCCGCTCCTGCCTCCTCCGCCACTGTCGTTTGGCAGCACCTCTGCTCGACCTCAGCCCCCCATCGGTACAGTGCGAGCTCCGTCTGCCATCCTCCATTGTCACAGTGGCTGCAGAATCCCTGGTCTCCGCCTCCAACCTTTGAGACCCAGACTCCGCCTCGGCCCGTTGACCCTGCAGCTCCACCATGGCTCCTAGCTCCCTCTGCTCCGCCTTGGCCCGTCAGTCCACTGGCTCCGCCGGGCTCCCTCATCTGTCCGGCTCCGCCTTGGTCTGTCATCCACAATCCGTCACCTCAGGACTCCACTCCTCTGGCTGCGCCTCATCCCTCCGGCTCTGTCAGGCTCCTCTAACCCTTCAGCTCCTCCTCGGTCCTCTGTTGCTCCGGATCCACCACGGCCTTCTGGATTCCCACCTCCGCCTCTGTAGCCATCGCATCCTCCCCATCGTCCTGGCTCATCGGTTCTTCGTCTCCGCCTCGGGCTCCTCCGCCATCATTGGTCGGCCTCCTAGAGTCATCGGCCCTTCCTCCTCAATGGCTCCACCGTGGTTCGCCATTATAGCTGCGGCCTGGGTCCCACCTGGCACCGCATGCTCCAAGTCCCTCCTGTTTCCTCCCTGGCTCTGTCTGTCGTCCTCCTCCCGGGTGTCCATGCTCCTCCCGAGCCTCCTCCCAAGGTCCCACCCATCCCTCCCTGTGTTGTTTCTTCAGCGCGGGCACGCGCCTTCCGGGAGGGGGGCGATATGTCACGCCCCTGGACTGTGTTTGAGTGTTTTTCCCCTCCTTGTGCTTGCCCTGACCTAGTTTCTCCCTCATGTTAATTGTGTTTATTGCTCCCAGGTGTGTCTCGTTTCCTCCCTCGTTAGTTGTCTATTTATAGTTGTCGGCCCTGTTTCGCTGTCCAGTATTAAACATTAAACTGTATCATCGTGAATTCCCCTACGTCTCCTCGTTCCTCACAGGAGGCAAGTGTTTAAACGACTGTTTATTATGATAAGAACCATTTTTAATAATTGAGCACCAATATTAATTGTGCACCAAATCAGCATATTCAAATGATTTCTGAAGTACCATGTGACACTAAAGACTGAAGTAATGGCTGCTGAAAGTTCAGCTTTGCCATCAGAGCAATAAATAAATTTAAATAGAAAGCTGTTGTTTTAAATTTGAATAATATTACAATATTACTATTGATAAGCGATGCTTGGTGAGCATCTTTGAACTTCATTCAAAAATAAAAAATAAATTAAATCTTACTTATTCCAAACTCTTGACAGGTAGCATATAAAGCAATCATATTTTCTCTCACTGTATTTTAGAACCTGTGGACTCTGCTCCGGTGATTCTGGATGGGTTTGAACGGAGGGAAGTTATGGTGGGTCATCGGGTGGAGCTCCCATGTAAAGCGTCTGGTCACCCCCCGCCCAGATATCGCTGGCTGAGGGACAACAGCCCCTTAGAATCAGACAGCCGGTACCACCAGAGTGTATCGGGCCTTCTCATCGAGGCCACACGACCCAGTGACGCAGGCAGTTATGTGTGTGAGGTGTGGAACAGCTTCGGGAATGCCAAAGTGGTCGGAAGGCTGGTGGTTAAGCGTAAGATATTTTGTGACAGTATTCAACCATTGTAGCATTCACATTATTAGTTATGTGAATATAAGCATGACAACTCCTGAATGTCCTAGCTTTTTTCAGAGGCTTGTATTTAAACCTTTCATGATAGGACCCCTTTGACAGATACAATCTTGACAGATCTTTTCACTATTGTTTTGTAAACCAAGAATGTAAGTTCATTAGTCAGCACACACATTAATTTGAATGGGCTGCTATTAGCTAACAAGTCTTTAGTTATGCTTTAGTTAAGCAACAAACTTTGGAGGATGAAAGATGTTTTTTTATTTTTTTTATAGACACTATTATATTTAATAGTGTATTATTGTCTGTGTTTTCATCTACCTCAGAGCCTCTGAAAGCAGTGGTGAGTCCACGGAAGGTGAGAGGCAGCGTGGGTAGCCAAGTGTCACTGTTCTGCAGTGTGACTGGCTCTGACGAGTATGAAATCGCCTGGTACAGGAATGGTGAGAAGATCTATCAGGGTATAAACGTACGTATCACGGGCATCAACAACGAGAACCTGGTGATGGAGGGAATGGCCAAGAGTGATGGAGGAGCGTATCAGTGCTTTGCTCGAAATGGCAAGATGTCCACCCAAGACTTAGTGCAGGTCATCTTAGAAGGTGAGTAAGAGTGTTATGTTTATTAGCATTATATTATAAAAATTACACTGTAAATAATATTTTTTTCTAAGTAAAATAAAACAAAGTTATTAGGGTTTTTTTTAACAAGAAAATACTATTTTATTCTTTTTACTCCATGTTTAATTCAATGTGTTACCTATCATTCCTTTGTAATTAAATCTGAAATTTACTAGCAATTTCTGATTGAAAATTGGAAAATTCTACACCATTTTTTCAGTGTATGAGAAAATTATGCCCGTAATAAGCCACTGCGACATAAAATACTATGTCAAACATTGCAGGACATACAATTGATTTTGGAGATCATCTCTTTTGACCCCTTTGCGGCATAATATTTGCATTTGCATTAGGTGTTAGCATCTACTGTATCTAAATATATTATCTTAAAATTTGTTATTACTTTTAAAGGAACAGTTCACCCAAAAATGAAAATGTTTCACCAATCACCTTCATGTCATTCTTACCCTATCATTTTCTCTTTTTTCCCCCATGTAACACAAAGCATTATATTAGACAGAGATTCTCTTTTCCACACAGTAAATGTGGATCATAATATATACTGGCAAGCACCATAAAAAGCACCATAAAACATAGTCCAGACAACTTCAGTTATATCAAGAACAAAATAAGGAAAATAATTGGGTGAGTAAATGATGACAACACTTTTACTTTTGGGTGAACTAATCCTTTAAATGCAAAAAAAAAAAGTTTTGATGCAAATGGGGCCAACAAAGCCCCTCCCCCAAATATCAGTTATGCAAATGCTGTGTTTGACATTTATAAATGAATTTACTTCTTTAAACCACTACTTCAACTGCTATTTTTATCCAACCAGCCGCCGAACCACACACACATGATTGTAGGATATCATAGGTAATGATGGGTACATTTAGGTTGATTTCAAAAGTCAATCAGATAAAGGCATCTTAGTAGGCAGAATGTTACACAAACATTGGATTCAGCTGTGAAAATTGTGAAGCATATGTGTAACTGTGCATGTGTTTCAATATAACACTCTGCTGGACTCTACTGAAGCTACTCAGCCCTGGAGCTGAAAAGATTTGTTGCTTCAGCTTGGTTGCTGGGGCAACTGTCTCCTATTGCCACAAAACTGTATAAAGAGGATATTGATAATCTATAATAATGTTTAAAAAAGGCAGGATGATCAAAGAGTAAAGATTTCAATAGAACTAAACTTTAAAACACAGCTGTTTTGCAAGAAATGTATGGCTAGATCCAGTGTTTTTTTTTTTTTTTTCAATGTCCATTATTTACTATGAATGTGAAGAAGTCGTTTCGGTAATGCTTTAGATTACAGCCTGCAATGTACCACGTAATTGTAACGAAAGTCCACTGAAGGCGAGCGTAAGTGAGAACCCAAGTGCAGTTTATTTACAGTGATCCAAACAATAAAGGAAGACTAGAGACACAGACTTGACGAGGAATGAACAGACTTGACTTGACATGAACAGGCCTGAACAGACTTGACGAGGCATGAACAGACTAGACTCACCGACAGCGGGTTACAACATCAATACACGACGAGGGCACAATGGGAACATGATGGCTAGTTATAGCAGACAAGGAGGGTCACATGACGTGAACAAACCAATGGGAAACAAGACACATGACTAGGACAACCAATCAGAACATGACACAATGAACAGACGAACCAATGGCATGAATATATGAGGGCAAGGGAAGCATGACACAAATGGCATAAAACAATTACAAAATAAAAGACATGAAAACATGAACATGACAAAAAAAGAAGCAGACTCGTGGACAGGAGAGGCCTCAGGAGCAGACTCGTGGACAGGAGAGGCCTCAGGAGCAGACTCGTGGACAGGAGAGGCCTCTGGAGCGCAGTGTGCAGCCCACACGCTCAAAATGGCGACCGCCATTACAGGAAGGGCAGCAGAGTGTGGCATGACCTCTAAGATGGCAGGGCTTGAGAGCGCCGACATTACCGGGATGCCTGCAGCTCGCACCGACATTAGAGGTGGGTCCATCACACTAGCAATCAGACCTTTCTGTCCAAGCCCAAGCTCCGCGTCTGACTAAGGCGTGGCGGCCATCTTGGCCGGGGACTCAGGCTTAACGTGAGCAGACTCTGAAATGGCGGCCATGTCGTGACGAGACTCAGGAAGATCAGTTGAGACGTGATGAGACTCTAAAAGGGCGACCATTTTGTGAAGAGACTCTTGTGTGGCGGCCATCTTGCGATGAAGCTCTTGAATGGCGGCCATGTTGTGAAGAATCTCTTGATGTGTCAGCATGATGTGAGCAAACTCTGGCTTGGCAGACGTGATGTGAGCAGGCCCTGGGGTAGCAGACATGACGTTAGCAGACTCTGGCTTGGCAGACATGAAGTGAACAGGTTCTGACTTGGTAGATATGACATGAGTAAACTTTGACTTAACTGGTATGATGTGAGCAGGTCCTGGAGTAGCAGGCGTGACATTAGCAGGCTTTGACTTGGCAGATATGATGTGAGCAGGCTTTGGCATAGCAGACATGACGTGAACCAACCCTGGAGTAGCAGGCATGACGTGAACAGACCCTGGAGTAGCAGGCATGACGTGAACAGGCTTAGGCTTGGCATGCATGATGTGAGCAGACTTTTGGGAAGTGTCATGTTCCTTCTCCACGACACCCACAGTGAAAGCAGATCCACTCAACTGCAGAGCAAAGTCTATATACTGTTTTAGTGACCAGTGTGGGGTATTACGTGGCATTAAACGTGACATGTCCTCACTTAAACCATAACGGAAAATGTCTTTCAGGAATGTTTCATTAAAATCCACTAGGTGACAAAGCCCACAAAAGTCCTCCACATAATCCTCAATGGAGCGATTACCTTGACGGAGGCGAACTAGGCGATCTGCTGGGTTAATTTTTGAGCGGTCGTGTATTCTGTAACGAAGGTCCACTGAAGGCGAGCGTAAGTGAGAACCCAAGTGCAGTTTATTTACAGTGATCCAAACAATAAAGGAAGATTAGAGACACAGACTTGACGAGGAATGAACAGACTTGACTTGACTTGAACAGACTTGATGAGGCTTTAACAGACTTGACGAGGCATGAACAGACTAGACTCACCGACAACGGGTTACATCATCAATACACGACGAGGGCACAATGGAAACATGATGGCTAGTTATAGCAGACAAGGAGGGTCACATGACATGAACAAACCAATGGGAAACAAGACACATGACTAGGACAACCAATCAGAACATGACACAATGAACAGAGGAACCAATGGCATGAATACATGAGGGCAAGGGAAGTATGACACAAACAGCATAAACCAATTACAAAATAAAAAACATGAAAACATGAACATGACAAAACCCCAAACACCACATTACAGTAATTAAACAGAATTTACAGCGTACCTATTTGTAACTATAGAGTACCTCCACAGTACCTACTTGTAGGTATAAGGGAACAATATGCAACGTTTGGGGAATAAGGGGGTAATAACCTGTGAAATTATAAAGCATTTATACTGTTAGTATTTCATAAGTAAGGTGTAATTATTCTAAGATTATCTGGTATGCGTCTTTTGCTACTGTGTTAGGCAACAATATTATGATTTAGAAGTTGCCTTATTGTAATAACACAAAATATATGATGCAGTATATTTTTACACTATGTATTATTGTATTATTACAACATATCTTACATGACTGATACAAATAGTAAATTGTAGTATACTATAGTAGGCTATAATTTAGTAATTATAGTAAAGTTAAAAACCACCATAGTATTTATAAAATTTTACCACAGTTTACTTAAGAATATATGCTATAATATTTACTAGTGTTTCTTTATGTGGGATCATGGAGATTATAAAGTATGGGGAAATTATGTAATGAGTTTCTGCTATGATTTGGCTTAGAAATTTCCATATGAAAATTTACCTGATGAAAGAGCATCGCATATGGTCATCTTAGCAGCGAGTCCGTCTGCAGCATTGTACCGTCGAGGTGCAATACAGTGGAAAACTAGATTACCTGTTTCCAGCTGCTCCCAGGATATAACCCATAAATATAACATCATAATACACAACACATGTATATTTACTGTATAACTGATGTTTTTTGAACAGCTGTAGTGCTGTTGGTGCACTTGAGTTTCCATATGTGGTTCGAGGCAAGTAGAATAAAATGTACTACAACATTTTTCCTAACTACTATGCAAACATACACCCTTATTATATATAATTATTGTCAAGTCAAGTCACCTTTATTTATATAGCGCTTTTAACAATACAGATTGTGTCAAAGCAACTGTACAGCATTAATTAGGAAAATATTGTGTCAATAATGCAAAATGATAATAGTAAACACTAAATTTTCAGTTAAAGGCAGTTCATCATTGAATTCAGTGATGTCATCATCCAGCTCAGTTCAGTTTAAATAGTTTCTGTGCAATCAAGTCGACGATATCGCTGGAAATTAAGTGTCCCCAACTAAGCAAGCCAGAGGCGACAGCGGCAAGGAACTGAAACTCCATCGGTGACAGAATGGAGAAAAAAACCTTGCGAGAAACCAAGCTCAGTCGGGGGGCCAGTTCTCCTCTGACCAGATGAAACCAGCAGTTCAATTCCAGGCTGCAGCAATGTCAAATTATGCAGAGGACTCAACTGGTTCCTGTTGTCTTGTCCCGGTGGCCGTCTAGGAAACAAGGTCTCTGTATAAGTGGTTGCAAATTTGTTTTTTCTGCATTCTGTTCTTGGAAAAGGTCTGTTAAAATTTTGTTAAATAATAAAAATATTTCTTTGTTAACTTATGGTCTTTGGACCTTGCATTTAACTATGTAATACAGTTCACTGTTAATAACTTTGAAACAAATCTATTGTAGCTAAACTAAAATTGTTTAATGTTACACTTACACAGTAACTACATGTAACAAGAGGGTAACAAGGGATCACTTTAAATTACAGCCCGCAGATGTTGCACTTACACAGT